GAGACCTGAAACTATAAAACTCATAGAAGAAAATATAGGCAACACACTATTTGACATTGGTCATAAAGGAATCTTTTCGGATAACATGCCTACCCAGACTAGGGAAACAAGAGAAAAAATTAACAAGTGGGACTTTATCAGATTAAAGAGCTTCTACTCGGGCCGGCCCTGTGGCTTGGTGGTTAAGTGCGCGCGCTGCAATGCTGGTGGCCCGGGGTTCGGATCCCGGGTGTGCATTGAGGCACCACTTCTCCGTCCATCCTGAGGCCGAGTCCTACATATAGCAACTAGAAGGATGTGCAGCTATGACATACAACTATCTACTGGGGCTTTGGGGGGAAAAAGTAAAATAAATAAAAAAAAATAAAAAATAAATAAATAAATAAAGAGCGTATAATATAAAATATAAATATATAAACAGATGATTTTAATACAATGTTAAAAGAATGCTAGGATGTTATAGAAACACAAAAATGCATTTAACTCAACCTTAGGGGATCAGGGTCAACTTCCTAAAAAGATAATGTCCTCATTGAGGCTTGAAAGATAAGTAAGAAGTAGCCAGGTTAAAGGAAAGGGATGGAGGTTCTAAGCAGTACATAGCATGAGCAATAACCAACATGGTTTTCTACCTTTGAACCTTTATGTACTGATCTCTGTTACCTCATCCCACAAATTTATTACCGGGAATGTCCTTTCTTTCTTCATTTTGCCTATTTAAAAATTCATTATCTTACTAAGGTCCTATTCAAGCCATACTTCCTAGAAGATTCCTTGACCACTCCAAAAAGAATATAATACAGAAATCCTGCAGCATTTATAGCCTATACTTCAAAATGTTATATTTATGTAAACATAGGTATTGTGCTTAAATTGTTTAATGTGTATTAATCCTATCTTCGATAACTACCAGCTCTGCTAAGACCTTTATTATCATAGAATCAGAGAATCTACATGTTATATACGTACAGTGATAAAAGTAGAGGCACTTGTGGGTTAAGAAGACAGAGAATTATGGTTTTCATTTATACGTACCATTCTCAGCTTTCAGCTGCTCCAGCTCCACAGAACTAAGGAGCAAGGCTCCCTTTTCGTTCTCTAGTTCTACCACTCTCTTCTGCAAAAAGGCAATATTCTCCTCAGTGACTGCCTAAATTATAGAAAGAAACAAATTAATGATTCTCCAGTGAAAAACTCTCATACTAATGCCCAGATAGCCTCTAGCACTTTGGTCTTCTAAAAGTTCTCCAGCCATGAAAATACTTTAAAAATAGCATCTACTTATCTGCCTTGGTAATCTTTAAAGTAATGCTTTTTATCTGAAGATAGAAAATCTTTCACACAAACTTCTAGTTCACTGGCTTTTGAATTTAAGACTGAAGCCTAGATTACAAAGACAGAAATCCCAAGTCTATTGCATAAGAAAGAACATTTTCAGGTCTACAAACAAATAATATTACAAAATTAGATTAATGACACCTGGTAATAAGGTCACTCTCTTGAAGGAGACTGAACATGAAGAGAGGCTCTCAAAGAAGAACAGAGGCAAAAGTAATATGTATCCCTTAAAAAAGAAGAAGAGTCATAATTGTTTTTGTTTTTTCCAAGTATAATAAAAATTCTATTGCGCTTAACCTATGCATCCCTAATGTTTGGTTTTCCTAATGACACGCAAATATTTAATTTTGCCACATCTTTAGTTTTATGTCTTTTTACATGTTTTTCTTCTCCAAGGGGATTATTCTATATAATTTTTCATAAAATTATACAGAATTTTTGAGCCTTGAGGGTCTTTACATTTCACTCACCCCAAACCTTCATTTGATGTTTAAAGAAATGGCAAGGGATGAGTATAAGCATTTTATGGCTTTTATCTTGAGGGAAGTTCCCAGTTTGCATTACACAGGGCAAGTAAAACACCAACAGAAAAGCCACAAGTCTTTCTGGCTTAAAGAATGAGAAGACAGACTTTGGGACAAACACAGCTGCCAGAATGAGAGGGGGGAAATCATAGAGAGGAGAAAAAAATTTCAGCAAGGGGGAGCCCTAAATTCTATGTATAAACTTGGCCCAAATCTCTAGCTGAACGATGAACTATGCATTTACAGGGCTGACTTGAAGCAGTCCAGTGAAGACAAAAATAAATGAACTGAGTGGGTGCCTACCATAGGCCAGAGTTTGTGGTCTGAGTCCAAATTATTGGCCGATAAAAAGTAATCAATACTCTACCGTGATGCCTGAGAGGTGGGACAGAAATAAGGTGAGCCAACAACTAACCAAGTTTAGTGCCTTAAGAGAGTTTCTGGGCTGTGGCCCAAGAAGAAGGAACCTAGGCAGAGCCGGGTGGACTCCCTGAGTTGAGGAGGGAGATCAAGTGGCTGGAGTTCACAGAACAGAGTACCAGATAAGAGAGATCTACGCAGAGAGAAAACCCTGGAGATCTGCAGAGGGTCCCCAACAAGTATTAAGCACAGTACAGAGTAGCACACGAATGTGAGGAAACTATCCAAGGCTATCTGAACTACCCAAAACTCCCTGAAGAGATTAGAGAATGACACTTGGTGCTCACACAGGGCCGGGAAGAGTGCCTCTTCCCATAGCCAAACATGAAAAAACTTACACCTTGCAGGGCATTGAGCAGGGCACTCAGCAAGGTCTTGCCTCGGTAGCAAGGAATGACTGAGCAAGTATTGAGACCTGCCTAACAAATCAAAGAGGCAGGATCCAAAAGGTTCAAACTGTTTTCAAGTAACTTAATTGCATCCCATTAAAAACTTCAAAATATTTATGCGAATACAAAAATATCCAGCAACCACAATGTCTGGCAACCAATCAAAGGTTATTAGGCATGCAAAAAAGAAGGAAAATATAAGCCATAATGAAGAGAATAATCAGTTGAAAATGACCCAGTCCTGACACTGATGTTAGAATTAAAAGATAAGGACATTAAAGCAGTATAACTGCATTCTATATAGGCAAAAATTCAAATAAAAACATGCAAGATATTTTTTAAAGCCCAAATCAAATTTCTAGAGAAGAAAATACAGTGTTTGAAATATAAAAATACACTAGATGGAATTAACAACAAATTGAACACTGCAGAAGATTAGCTAACTTGAAGATAAAGAAATAGAAACTAACAGATGAAAGAGAGAAAAAAAGAATGCAAAAAAATTAAAAGAGCATCAATGAGTTCTGGAAAAACTTCAAGTAATCTAATATTTGTGTAATTGGAGTCCCCAAAGGAGGGGAGAGGGTCAGAAAAAAATATTTGACTAATTAATGACAGAAAGTTTTCCAAATTGATGAAAACTATAAACATAGAGATTCAAAAGGCTCAATGAACTCCAAGCACAAGAAACATGAAGAAAACTATGCCAATATACATCACAATCCAAGTGCTTCAAACCAGTGATAAAATCTAAAAGCACTTGAGGAGGGGCGGGTGGGGGTAAGACAAAAATGACAGTAGATTTCTTGTCAAAAAAAAAAATGCAAAAAACAAGACAGTAGGGTAATAGCCTTAAAGTACTGGAAGAAAAAAACAACAACTATCAATGTAGAATTCTATAGTCAGCTTTTAAAAATATCTTTCAACAACAATGGAGAGATAAAGATGTCTTCAGACATATAAGAGCTTTAAGAACCCATCAACAGCAGACTTGCACGTACACACACACACACACACACACTAAAGGAAGTCCTTCGGGCAGAAGGAAAATGATACCAGTTGAAAATATGAAACTTCACCAGAGTTCAGCAAACTCTGGAGGCCTTCCACCTGTTTTCGTAATAAAGTTGTAATGGAACACAGCCACAGCCCATTTGTTTACCTTTGTTCTATGTCTGCTCCTCCTCTACAACGGCAGAGTTGAGTAGTTACAACAAAGACTGTATGGTCCAAAAGCTGAAAATATTTACTATTTGACCCTTTACAGAAAAAGACTGTCAACTCTTGATCTACCCCAAAGAATGAAAAGTACCAGAAATGGTAACTGCAATAGTAGTTAAGATTTATTTTCTTATTATTTGAGTCGCTTTAAAAGATAATTGATTAAACAAAAATAAAATTTTTAAATAACGTGTTATATTTTTTGTTTATAACAAATGTATAAGTAAAACAACAATAATATAAATCCCAAGAGTGAAGAAATGCAAGTATGTGACTGTAAGGTTCTCATTCCATACATGAAGCAGCATAATATTATGTGAAGGTAAACTATGATAAAAATTTAGGCTATAATCCCTAATGCAACCACTATACAAAACAAAGAATTATAGCTAATAAGATGAAAAGGAGGAAAAACAGAATCATAAAAAACACTTGGCCAATTTTTTTTGTGTGTGTGTGTGACGAAGATCAGCCCTGAGCTAACATCTATGCCAACCCTCCTCTTTTTTTGAGGAAGACTGGCCCTGAGCTAACATCTGTGCTGATCTCCCTCCATTTTATGTGGGATGCCGCCACAGCATGGCCTGACAAGCGGTGCGTCAGTGCGCGCCTAGGATCCAAACTTGGGCCACCAGCAGCGGAGCACGTGCACTTAACCATTAGGCCACGGGGCCAGCCCCAGGCCAATTTTTTAAAGGAAGGAAAAGTAGAAAAGAGTAAGACAACAGTTGGGAAAATAGAAAACAAATAGCAAAGTGAGAAACTTAAAACTATATCAATCACAACATTAATGTAAATGGTCTAAATGCTCCAACTAAAAGGGAGAGATTGACAGACTGGATAAGAAGTAGGATCAAACTCTATGCTGCATATAAGTGATGCACTTTAAGTATAAAGATACAAATAAGTTAAAAGTAAAAGAAAGAAAAAAGAAACACCATGCCAACACCAGTCAAAAGGAAAGTGGAGTAGCTATATTAATATCAGATAAAAATACATTTCAGAGAAGAGAATGTCAGCAGGGATAAAGAAGGTCATTTCATAGTGATAAATGGGTCACTTAATCAAGAAGACATAAGAATCCTAAATGTTTAAGGCTCCAATAACACAGCTTGAAAATACATGATGCAAAAACTTATAGAACTATAAATAAATCCACAACTATCACCTGAGATTTCAATACTCCTCTCAATAATTTGAGAGAACAAGTAGGCAGAAAAGCAACAAGGATACAGTATGCTTTAATAACACTATCAACGAACCTTACATGATTGACATTTATAGAACACTCCAGCCAACAACAGCAAACTACACATTATTTTCAAGTACACTTGGAATATTTACCAAAATAGACAATATTCTAGACCATAAAACAAGTCTCAATCAATTCTAAAAGATTAAAGTTTATGAAGTATGTGCTCTAACCACAATGGAATTAAATTAAAAATCAGTAACAGAAAGACCTCTAGATATATCATCCCCAAATATTTTGGAAACTAAATAACCCAGGGGGCAAAGAAGAAATCAAAAGGGAAATTAGTACTTCGAACTGAGTGAAAATGAAAACACAAGAGAATTTGTGGGATGCTGCTAAAGCAGATTTTAGGGGGAAATTTGTAGTGCAAAATGCTTATATTAGAAATAAGAAAGGTCTCAAACTAATGGCCTCAGCTTCTACTTTAAGAAGCTAAGAAAAAGAGAAAATCAAATCCAAAGTAAACAGAAGAAAGGAATAATAAAGATCAAAGTAGAAATCAATAAAATAGAAAACACAGAATCAATGAAACCTAAGCCGGTTTTTTTGAGATCTTTAAGTAAAGTTGGTAAACCTCCGGGCAGTCTAACCTGTGTAAGAAAGAAAAAACAAATTACCAATATCAGGAATGGGAGAGGTGACATGACTACAGATTCTATACATACTACGAGGATAATTAGGGATTGTTATGAATAACTTTATGCCTATAAATTTGACACTTCAGATGAAATGAACAAATTCCCTAAAAGATATAAAACATGAAAGCTCACTCAAGAAAAAATAGATAATCTGAATAGACATGCAGCTACTAAACAAATAGAATTTGTACAGAAAAATGCTCCTACAAAGAAAACTCCAGGACTAGATGGCTTCACTGGTGAATTTTCACAAAACATGTAAGGAACAAATAATATCAAGTCTACACAAAATCTTTCCAAAAACTAAAGAGGAAGGAATACTTCCCAATTCATTCTAAAAGGCCAGCATTACTCATATAGAAAAA